CCAGCCTGAGTGGCAGAGCAAGACTCCATCTCAAAACAAAAACAAGACCGGGTGTGGTGGCTCACGCCTATATTCCCAGCACTTTGGGAGGCTGAGGCAGGCAGATCACGAGGTCAAGAGACTATCCTGGCTAACACAGTGAAACCCTGTCTCTACTAAAAAAAAAACAAAAAATTAGCTGGGGGTGGTAGCAGGCACCTGCAGTCCCAGCTACTCAGGAGGCTGAGGCAGGAGAATGACATGGACCCGGGAGGCAGAGTTTGCAGTGAGCCAAGATCGCACCACTGCACTCCAGCCTGGGTGACTCCGTCTCAAAACAAAAACAAGGAGAGATATGTCAGCATCCAGGCCTTGTTATTCCATTTCCAGAGCACATGCAGAGTAGAAATAGCATCATTCTTAAAGGCCCTAACATATTCAGAATGGTAAACGAGCATGGCCTCAGCTTAAGGTCACCACCTGCATTAGCCCCTAACAAGAGTCACCTTGTCCTTTGAAGCAAGGTGTTTTTTCCTTTCTAGCTATGAAAGTCCTAGATGGCATCTTCTTCCAATAGAAGACTGTCTTGTCTGCATTGAAAATCTGTTGGTTAGTGTAGCTACTTCAGTTACTGTAGCTAGATCTACTGCCTTACCTTTTTTTTTTTTTTCCCTTTGAGGCGGAGTTTTGCTCTTTTTGCCCAGGCTGGAGTGCAATGGCACGACTTTGGCTCACCACAACCTCCGCCTCCCGGGTTCAAGCGATTCTCCCGCCTCAGTCTCCTGAGTAGCTGGGATTACAGGCATGCACCACCCGGCTAATTTTGTATTTTTAGTAGAGACGGGGTTTCTCCATGATGGTCAAGCTCGTCTTGTACTCCCGACCTCAGGTGACCTGCCCCCCCTCGGCCTCCCAAAGTGCCAGGATTACAGGTGTAGGCCACCGTGCCCAGCTGCATTTTTATATTAGGAAGATGTCTGCTGGGCGCAGTGACTCATGCCCGTAATCCCAGCACTTTGGGAGGCTGAGGCAAGTGGATCACCTGAGGTCAGGAGTTCGAGACCAGCCTGACTAACATGGTGAAACCCTGTCTCTACTAAAATTACAAAAATTAGCCAGGGATAGTGGCGGGCACCTGTAATCCCAGCTACTTGGGAGGCTGAGGCAGGAGAATCGCTTGAACCTGGGAGGAGGTTGCAGTGAGCCAAGATCACGCCACTGCATTCCAGCCTGGGCAATAAGAGCGAAACTCCTTCTCAAACAAAACAAAACAAAACAAAACGGAAGATGTCTTCTTGGACCTGGCGCGGTGACTCACGCCTGTAATCTCAGCACTTTGGGCAGCCAAGGCGGGTGGGTCATCTGAGGTTGGGAGTTTGAGAACATCCTGACCAACATGGTGAAACTCTATCTCTACTAAAAATACAAAAATTAACTGGGCATGATGGTGTGCACCTACAATCCCAGCTATTCAGGAGGCTGAGGCAGGAGAATGACTTGAACCTGGAGGCGGACGTTAAAAAAGTAATTGGTACTTAATTATTTTTTCTTTTGTATTGAGACAGAGTCTCGCTCTGTCGCCCAGGCTGGAGTGCAATGGCATGATCTCGGTTCACTGCAACCTCCACCTCCTGGGTTCAAGCAATTCTCCTGTCTCAGTCTCCTGAGTAGTTGGGATTACAGGCGCACGCCACCATGGCTGGCTACTTTCTTGCATTTTAGTAGAGACTGGGTTTTACCGTGTTGCCCAGGCTGGTCTCGAACTCCTGAGCTCAGGTAATTCGCTCACCTCGGCCTCCCAAAGTGCTAGGATCACAGGCGTGAGCCACCATGCCCGATCTATAAACGTATTTTAACACAGAAAAGGTAGAGTAAAAATTAGTATTACAATCTTATGGAACTATTGTTGTACATGTGGTCAATAACTGACAAAACAAAGTTATGATCACACTATGTGGGTATAATCTACCTGCATAGGTACAATCACAATCTACCCTTTAGAACTGACTTCAAAGATTAAGGCCGAGAGGAATGGTGCGCACGCACGCGTGCACACACACACACACACACACAGTGTTACAGAAAACAGCAAACACACACAAAAACAGTGATAATCTTTTCCCCAGATATCCCAAGCAGGAATTTACCCTGGAAATGAACTCAAGTGTAAGAAAACAAATACCCCAAAGGCAATCAAAAATAAGATAAAAAAGCTCACGAGGCCAGGCACAGTGGCTCATGCCTGTAATCCCAGCACTCTGAAAGACCAAGGCCAGTGGATCACTTGAGGCCAGCCTGGGGAACATGGTGAGACCATCTCTGCCAAAAAAAATTAGCTGGGAGTGATGGTGTGTGCCTGCTACTCTGCAGGTTGAGGTGGGAGGATCATTTGAGTCCAGGAGCTCAAGGCCACAGTCAGCTGTGATCATGCCACTATACTGCAGCCTGAGTGACAGGGAAGTTTACGGGTAAACACCAGCAGTATTGTCAATAGATGACTAGACATCATTGTTACATAATTGCAGGTATGTTAAAGGATTAACCGGAATTGGGTTTTACCTTGGAAAGATGTTTGAAGTATGTGAGAGGGGAGAAAACAGGCTGGGCAAGGTGGCTCGTGCCTGCAATCACAATACTTTGGGAAGCTGAGGCAGATGGATCACTTGAGGCCAGGAGTTCGAGACCAGCCTGGCCAACATGCTGAAACCCCATTTCTACTCAAAATACAAAAATTAGCCAGGTGTGGTGGCGGGCCCCTGTAATCCCAAGTAAGGAGGCTGAGGCAGGATAATTGCTTGAACCTGGGAGGCTGGAGGATGCAGTAAGCCAAGATCGAGCCAGTGCACTCCCTTGAGCCTGGGAGGTCAAGGCTGCAGTAGGCTGAGATCATACCACTGCACTCTAGCCTGGGTGAAAGAGTGAGACCCCGTCTTAAAAAAAGAAAAAACAGGCCGGGTATGGTGGCTCATGCCTGTAATCTCAGCACTTTGGGAGGCCGAGGTGGGCGAGTTCACCTCAGGTCGGGAGTTTAAGAACAGCCTGACCAACATAGTGAAACTCTGTCTCTATTAAAAATACAAAGTTAGCCGGGCGTGATGGTGCATGCCTGTAATCCCAGCTACTGGGAGGCCAAGGCAGGAGAATCACTGGAACCCGGGAGGCGGAGGTTACAGTGAGCCAAGATCATGCCATTGCCCTCCAGCGGCAACAAGAGGGAAACTGTCAAAAAAAAAAAAAAAAAGAAAAGAAAAGTGAGGCAAGCATGGACATAACCACGTCTGCATCTTTTTGACTGTAGGAACAAGTGTCACGAGGCAGCTGGAAGCGATTGTCAAGTAAACATTCTCAGAACAGAAAGTACCAGAAAAACTTCCATATACACCTGGGTGAGAAAAAAAAAACATTCAAAATTTATTTTCCAACAGACAGACAGCATCAGCAGGTACAACTACAGGGGTTTCTCCGTGGATCATACATTCACAAGGCATTATTAGCTCAACAGTGAGAAAGCCACTGGTGTGTTTTCTGTAACAATATCCACTTCACAGTGTAAACAGGTACTATTATCGTGTTCACTTACAATTCCAGAAGGAAAGGCACAACTTGGCAAAAAAAAAAGGGGGGGGTGGGCGGGATCCTAAAGTCAGGTGCAACGATGAAGAACAACACTTTGGCTATTCGTCTTGGATGCATATTTCCATCAGGACCTTCCACATAGAGGGGAAAGACTTTTCTCCCAGAAGTTAGTTTTTTTTTTTTTCTTTCTCCCTTCTTGTTAAACCAAGAGCAATGTTTCGTTTGCTCAGTATCACGTATACAAAAGGAAACTACACAAAAAAAGGCATCACAAAATCATCTTGAACGTTCACCTCTTCCCACCAATACATCAACTCTTAGGTTTTAGACAGGGCCTGGGAATACTTCAGCGGTCTTAAAACAGGAAAACAGACACTATGGCTACAAAAAATAAAAAATAAATGAGGTAGATAAATTAAAGCTTTCACACCCAGGACTTGCCTGTTCTAACTTCGTAGCCTTCATGAAATATTCAGCAAGAAAACAAACAAAACAAAAAATCTTCATAATTACTTGGCATAAGTCGCACCAAGGAAATTCAACAAAAACAATCAGTATGTGAACCTGTGATGGGAAACACGCCCTTCCACGAGTTTCTCCTCGAGCATGAAAACCCAGTTCTTCAATAGAGTAGGCACTGGCAAACTAAGTCACCTGAGATTCCCCGCTCAGGTGCCCACCTCTTCTGGGGTTCGGGAAGAGGAAGGCATCTAAGAGGTGTGGGGAAAACATTGGCACTCTCGGGGCTCCAACTGAACTTTATTTAAATAAGCAGCAACACATACATTGACTCCCTAAGGACTAACGTTAAGTCCATTTGAGGGCCTCCTACTTAAGGTTCTAAGGTTGAAGCAATTTTATAATTCTACAACCCTAGTTTGTTGTTGTTCCTTTTTTAAGTACATTCAAAAAAAACAAACAAGATGGGGACAGGATTGGGGCATATAAAACAGGTCCCTAAAGAGATGACAGACCTTGTCCTTTTACCCGCGTCCAGTTACCATATAAGTATACAGTACCCCTCTCCCCTCAATTAGGCTGTGTAGTTGTCTTTTCCACTGTTGTTCAGTAAGTTCCAACAATTCTACCTTGAAATAGGTAAGTCTTTGGAAAAAGTCATTCTAGGTTGTACAAAGGTTCTATGTATACGTCTGTTACAAGTAACAAAGCTACTTTGCAAGACCCGCTTCTTTCCAAAATTGAAAAAAAAAAAAAAAAGTGCCAGGCATGGTAGCTCACACCTGTAATCCCAGCACTTTGGGAGGCCAAGACGGGTGGATCACGAGGTCAGGAGTTCGAGACCAGCCTGACCAACATGGTGAAACCCCATCTCTACTCAAAATACAAAAATTAGCCAGGCGTGGTGGCACGCGCCTATAATCCCAGCTACTCGGGAGGCTAAGGCAGGAGAATCACTTGAACCCGGGAAGGGGAGGTTGCAGTGAGCCGAGATCAATACCACTGCACTCCAGCCTGGGTGATAGAGCGAGACTCCATCTAAAAAAAAAACAGTCTGTATTTGTTTTGGTATGAATTTTTTTATTTTTTCAACTTTTTGCAAAGCAGCATAGCAACAATTGTGATTGTAGGACTTGCCTGAGGTTGTGGTCACAACCATCGTAAACATCATTTGCATATCAGTAAGAAAAAGAAAACAGGAGGAGATGAGTTCTTACAAAACAAAGCAGATTCTAGAGATTTCACGGTGTCTGCATTGCTCTTTCCACTCAAGTTCTCCCTTGCTTAGCTGACCGCAATCTTGTTTTCTTCTAGGAAGTGAGGAAACTGGTGTTTGGGAACGCTGTCAGTAGCACTTGGTTTTTCCACATCGGCACTGATACTCGATTGGGAGCCATCCATCTTGGAGACAGTGGCGTTACTCACAACGGAGGTGGCCCCCAAGGAAACAGGGAGGGTAGGAACCCCTCCACTCTGGATCACAGAGATCTCATTGGTCTTCACAGCCAGACCGCCATTGAGCATGCTGGTATACTGGTTCCACACCACAGGGTCCACATTCACCGAAGGGGCCAGGATTTCCTTGGGAAAGATTTCTGAGACTCTTTTTCCGTCCGTACCTAACAGAGCCATGGTGTTCTCAATGGCCAGCTTCCTTCCACGGCGGGCTGAGTTATTGTTCGCCCCGTGTGTCATGTAGTGAACCTACGGGAACAGGACAGAAAGGTTTTTATCAAAATAGAGATTTGAAGCTCACTGGCAAGCCAAGAATCAATCTGCATATGGATTTCATTCTACCCAGTGTTTTAACATATAGATGATCCTCGACTTACAGTGGGGTTATGCCCGGATAAACTCACTGAAAGTAGAAAATATTCTTAGTCTAAAATGCATTTAATACACCTAACCAGCCAAACATCATAGCTCAGTTTAGCCTACCTCAAACACGCTCAGAACATTTGCATTAGCTTACAGTTAGGCAAAATCATCTAATGCAAAGACTGTTTTATAATAAAGCATTGAAATAGCTCATGTAGGCATGGCACAGTGGCTCACGCCTGTAATCCCAGCACTTTGGGATGCCGAGGTGGGCAGATCACTTGAGGTCAGGAGTTCAAGACCAGCCTGGCCAACATGGTGAAACCCTGTCTATGAAAAATACAAAAATTAGCTGGGCATGGTGGCACATGCCTGTAATTCCAGCTGCTCGGGAGGCTGAGGCACGAGAATCGCTTGAACCTAGGAGGCAAAGGTTGCAGTGAGCCAAGATCATGCCACTGCACTCCAGCCTGGGTGACACAGCAAAAGACTCCGTCTCAAAAAAAAAAAAATTAGCTCATAGCTCATGTGATTGACTACTGTACTGAAAACTAGAAACAGAATGGTTGTATGGGTACCCAAAGTCTGATATCTATTGAATGCATCTCACTTTTGTACCATTGTAAATCAAACCATCTTAAGTCTGCACTTTATATTTAGAAAATCAGATTTCTTATATCACCTAATGAGCATTCCTCCCCAGAGCAACCAAGATGGGGTTATAGTCTCCAACTGTCTCTGCTCCACCAATCATGGGTGTACCTATGTGAAAACCTACTATATGCTGGGCATTGATCCAAGTGCCAGGGTTAACTTTTTTTTTTTTTTCCTTGAGTCTTAATCTGTCACCCAGGCTACAGTGCAGTGGCACGGTTCACTGCAGCCTCAACCTCCCAGGCTCAAGCGACCCACCCACCTCAGCTTCCTGAGTACCTGGGACTACAGGTGCACACCACCATGCCCAGCTAATTTATCTTTATTTGTAGAGACTGGATCTCTTTATGTTGCCCAAGCTGGTCTCGAACTCCTGGCCTCATGTGATCCTCCCACCTTGTCCTCCCAGAATGCTGGGATTACAGGCATGAGCCACCACACCCAGCCTAGAGTTCACATTTTTAAAATGCACAAACCTACACAGGTAATAAAACTGTAGAGTACACAACATGCACACCTGAGTAGAAGTAAAACGGGAAAATCTGAATATGCTGATTGTAACAATGTCAATATCTTGATTATGCTACAGTTTTGCAAAGTGCTACCAATGAGGAAAACTGGGCAAAGCATACAAGGACATCTCTGTATTATTTTTCAAAAGTCCAGTGAAAATCTATACTTATTTAAGTAAAAATTTCAGTTAAAAACAATTTGTGGGCAGGGCGCGGTGGCTCACGCCTGTAATCCCAGTACTTGGGGAGGCCGAGGCGGGCAGATCACCTGAGGTCAGGAGTTCGAGACGAGCCTGGCCAACATGGTGAAACCCCATCTCTGCTAAAAAATATATAAAAATTAGCCGGGCATGATGACGGGTGCCTGTAATTCCAGCTACTCGGGAGGCTGAAGCAGGAGAATTGCTTGAACTCGGGAGGCAGAGGGTTGCAATGAGCCGAGATTGTGCCATTGCACTCCAGCCTGCGTGACAGAGCAAAACAGACCATACCCTGATGCAGTTGACATCTAAATATATAGAACATCAATGTCTAATAATTGCTACAGAGAAAAATGTATCTGGCTGGGAAAGCTACAGAAGGCCATGGTGGAAATAGGATGCTATTTAATCTAGGGTGGTAGGCGAGGCTTCCGCTAAAGAAGGGACCTTATTAGCATCTGGCTGCTTTCCTTAATTATTTTTCCTGTCCGGCTTTCAAGTTCTGAAATCCTTTTCAGCTTCTTTTTTTTTTATTTATATGAATTTAATTTTTGTAGAGATGGCATCTTGCTATGTTGCCCAGGCTGGTCTTCAACTCCTGGGGTCAAGTGATCCTCCCACCACCACCTCCCAAAGTGCTGGGAGTACAGGCGTGAGCCACTGTGCCTAGCCCTTTTCAGCTTCGTAAGAGTTTAAAACTCTTAAGAGACAGGGTCTTACTCTCTTGTCCAGGCTAGAGTGCAGTGGTGTGATCACAGCTCACATTGCACCCTCGACACCGCAGGTTCAAGCAATCCTCCCACTTCAGCCTCCCAAGTAGCTGGGCCTACAGGCGCATGCCACCACGCCCAGCTAATTTTTATTTTGTAGTGACAGGGTCTCCTTATGTTACCTCCTCCCCGCTCAGCCTCCCAATTAGCTGGGACTCAAGCATGCAACACCACGCCCAACTGATTTTTGTTTTTTCTGTAAAGACGTTGTCTCCCTATGTTGCCCAGGCTGGTCTCAAACTCGTGGACTCAAGCAATCCTCCCACCTCGGCCTCCCAAAGGAGGAATGGAAGGATGGAAGAACTCATCACGGACTGTGCCAATAAGGAGCAGACACTCGGCGCCCAGCCCCCGTCCTGCTGAAAGCCCACACAAACCCACCTTTAAGTTGCCTTTGGTGGTAAAAGCTCGCCCACAAATGTTGCACACAAAAGGCTTCTCTCCAGTGTGAGTCCGCTCGTGGATCTGAAGAGCGCTAGCAGACGAGAAGTTCTTCCCACACCGTGTGCAGCCATGTTGCTTGGCCTGTCGGCGTGGCTGGGCTGCTAACAAAGGGGTCATCCCTGGGGACAATGTTGAGGGTCCCACAAACGTGCCAGGAACTTCAACCTTGACATAGGTTGGCTGGGCTCGGATAAACGTGGAAGGGAGACTGCTCCGACCTAGTACACAGAGGGGAAAAAGCCAGACCTTTATCATCCAACATTCATTCTTTTTCTTCAAAGCCAAAGAGATCTTTACAGATAACTGCCTGCTAGTTTGAGAGTCTGGAGCTGGCTTTGTAAGAAATTAACACCTTGAAAGCACCTTAACAGAAATTAACACCTTCCTTTGAATTGTTTATCTGCACAAAGAAGAAAGCCTCAAATGCTTGGGAAAAGGTACCACTTTGGGTTTTTTTTTAAGGTATGGGCAACATATAAACACATATCTAATTTAAGTTCAAATTTCTACATTAGAAACTACCTTTAAAGTATATGCCCAGACACCATCTTTCTTTGATTCTATGATACAGCTTTTCCCTTATTTTACCATTAATGACATCAACAGTCACCTCTCAGTAGATACGTGCATTTAAAATGGGTTCATCTTTCCCTGCTTCAAGAGCGGTTAATTTGTGAATATTACATCAGGCAGTGGGGCCTCAGAGTCAGGGAACCATGGCTTATTTCAGTGGTCAAAAAGCAGTGGCCACTTCCTCAAACATACTCTTAAGACATCCGTATACAGAATCAGTGTGGAGAAACAAAAAGAAAAAAACTATAACAAAATAGAAAGACTACCCCTATGTTCCAAGGGGCTCAAAGACAAAAATAAAAACCAACAAAAAAGGTATGCTGTCCATACCCATTTTGCATTGACCACCATAAACAAAAAGCATGTTCATTACTAGGATAGTGGCAGTTACTATTGCCCTCTACCCAGAAGCACAGAAAAGCTAATTGCCCTATAGAAGGGGCTGCTTCAAGTCATACTCTCCATTTGTAAAGTTCAACCCAGGTTCCTTTTTGATGACCTTGAGCCCAAAATGGACATAAGTTAAATCCAAAGCTCTATCACCTTCCATCTCAGTGCGGCTGTTCTCGGAGCTCTCTGCTTTGCTCCCAGCATCGGGAGACTTTGACTTGATGCTTTCGGCTTGACTATTGGCCGGGGAGAGTGCCTGGAAGGATGTGGTTTCCAGGATGTCTGGGCTTCGGCTCTGATACTCCTGGTCTCCCATCAGCGAGGACGAGTCGTTGGTCAAGCCGTCGCTCTCCACGGAACCGTTTTCTCTGCTGCCCTGGCGCTGCAGGTTAAAAGGGGCAGGACCCACTTTCCCTGGGGCATCTAAGGAAGCCATCATGGCAAACCCTAGTGTGGGTGATGCCGAGTGGATGCTGGGAAGAGGCGTGGGGACCTTCGAGGAGCTGCTGGGAGCCTCCTGGGAGCTGACTTCCTCTAAATCGATGCTTTCGATGACATCATCATGGCAGATGGCGCCGATGCTGCCGTTCTCACCCACCGTCATTGGCTCAGAACCCGGAAAGTCACAGGGATTCTCTGGCAGGGGCGTGTTGGGAATCTGACCGCCCATGTGCATCCGAATATGCTGCTGCAGCATCACGGCGTTGGTGAACTTCTTCTGGCAGATGGGGCATGAATGCTGCGTCTTAATGGACGTATTGGTTCGGTGAACCCCGAGGTGTGTCTTCAGGTTACCTTTGGTAGAAAAGGCTCGGCCACAGATCTTACACTGGAACGGTCTCTCCCCGGTGTGGGTGCGATAATGCATCTTGAGGGAGCTCTGGCAGCTTAAGACTCGGTGGCAAATGAGACATTCGTTGGGATCAGTGGTGGCCTTGTCAATGTTCTCCACCAGCTGCTGCAACTTCAGAGTCTCTGACCCTGGCTCAGGGGTCCCACTCCCTTGGAAGCCACCAGCCCTTGGGGAATTATGGTTTGGTCCCACCCCAGGGAGTGTGGGTCCACCCTCACTTTCTGGAGAAGGCCCAGGCTGCAGGTCACCGGGCAAGGGGCCACCCGTGAGGTCCTTGGGATTAGTCCCCGAAGAGAGATTCTGAGGTAGCCCTACAGAGGTGGTTACAAGGACAGGTTTGCTGTCTAAGGAAAGACTCGATTCATCTATGGGGTCAGGTACAGAGAGTGCATAGGGGATGCCATTGCCAGCCGCCACTTTGTCCTGGAACTCGGCAAACAGCTGGGGGTTTGCCTTCACCTGGGGATGTCGGTGAAAGTGCACCTTGAGGTTGCCCTTGGTGGTGAAGCGATGACCACAGACAGAGCACACGAAGGGTCTCTCTCCAGTGTGGGAGCGGAGGTGGATCTGCAAGGAGCTATCAGTCCCAAAAACCTTGCTACAGTACTTACACTTGTGCTTGTAGAGGACCGCCTCGTCTTTGGGTTTGACATCCACCGCGGAGATGTTCGGGGGCTTCCCCTTCCCTTTCTTGGATGTGTCTAGCGTCACAGTGGAGAAAGGGCTCTGGAAGAGCACCGAGCCCGGGGCCTGAGGAAGCAAAGCACTCGGGAGGCGGGACATGACGTTCGGGAGTACCCGGGTCCCATCCGGCTTCAGAGCGAAGGGCGCCAGCCCTGGGGACAGGGAGCTGGTGGCAGAAGGGATGTTGGCATGAGGTAGCTTGGCTTGTTTCAAGGCATCCAGAGACAGACCTTGGCTTCCAGCTTTCTGGCTGAGCAAAGCCACAGCTGCAGAAACCTGCTGAGACATGTGGCTGCCCAGGGTCTTCAGAGTGTCAGCCCCTGCCCCACTCGAGTGGAGTGCGTGGGAGGCCCACATGTTCACCTGGATGCGGATCTGCTCGGTGAGCTGGATCTGCTGTAGCTGCTGCTGCTGCAGACACAAGATCTGCTCGAGGACCCACGGGATGCTGTTGGCGCCAGGCACGGGGGCAGGGAGTGCATCCGCGCTCCGCTGATTCACCGCCACCTTGGTGCCCCGTAGTGCCTGCAAGGTCACGTTAGTGTTGGCCACTTTGCCTTTGGCTAAATAGCTTATGTCCTGGGGGGTGGGTGGCAGGGCTGTCTCTGTCTTTAGGTACACCACAGACTCTGCGCCCGGCTTCTCCTTCACATCCTCTGAGCTGCCGCCATTCTCCCTGTGACCGTCCTTACTGCTGGGGCTGGCGGGCTGGTGGCTCAGTACAGCTCTGGAGAAGTCTTCTGAAGGCACCGGCCCCTCGCTGTCATTCATGATGAGGACAGGTGGATTTTTAGTGCAATTTTTCTTATGTTCCAGAAACTCAGAGACGCTGAAGAACTCTGCACAGCATTTCTCACAGACGTGTGTCTCCTCCCGACGAAGCCGCTTTACTGTGGCTTCGTCCTCACTTGCCACCTCATCATTCCCCGGGTGGTTCACTGGAGCACCTATAACAAGACAGAAAAAGCTAAGGACTCTGCCCAAGTAAAAGATATGGGGGGAGCTGGGCACAGTGGCTCACGTCAATCATCACAGCACTTTGAGAGGCTGAGGTGGGCAGATCACCTGAGGTTGGGAATTCGAGACCAGTCTGGTCAACACGGTGAGACCCTGTCTCTATTAAAAACAGAAAAATCAGCCAGTCATGGTGGTGGACTCCTATAGTCCCAGCTACTCGGGAGGCTGAGGCAGAAGAATTGCCTGAACTCAGGAGGTGGAGGTTGCAGTGAACCGAGATCGCGCCATTGCACTCCAGCCTGGGCAACAGACTTTTTTTGAGACTCTGTCTCAAAAAAAAAAAAAAAAAAAAAAAAAAAACACGCTGATCCTTGAATTTCTTTTGTAACTGGGGCTTATTTACTTTAGGGTTAGTGCCAGCCTACACATTGCAACTCCGAACTTGGGACTACGTTTTAGCCAGATGCCGGGGTCCTTTACACAAGACGCCTGGCGAAGACTACTTCACTGTTCTCACCTCCCCGCTGTCCTCTCCGGTATACCCCATCGCCAAGATATCAATGGAGCCTGGGGCCACAGGACAAAGACAGGCATACCTCAGACCCTGCAGCTGAGCCTAGGAATCTAAACCACAGAAGACAGTCACACAAGCCTACAATGATCTGGGTTTTTTTGTTTGTTTTGTCTGAAACGTTCACAGCAGCAAAGAAGTAAATTTTTGCCCACCCACCCATAGTGTAAGAAGTATGCAGAATTTCTGTATGCCATAGAAATTAAGTGAAAGAAATGGGTTGCGCAACAATATGTACAACATGACCATTTTGCTTAAAACAAAACCTGTGTTTGAAATGTACAAACATGGCTGGGTGCAGTGGCTCACACCAGTCATCCCCGCACTTTGAGGTCACTTTTGAGAGGCCAGGAGTTCGAAACCAGCAACACAGTGAGACCCTGTTTCTACAAAAAAATAAGAAGATAAAAACAGCTGACCATGGCGGTGTCCATGTATATAGTTCAAGCTACTCAGGAGGCTGAGGCAGGAGAATTGCTTGAGCTTGGGAAGTCAAGTCACTCCAGCCCGGGTGACAGAGTGAGACCCTGTCTGAAAACAAAACAAACAAACAAACAAAGTACAAATGCACAAGGAAAAGGCCAGGAAGGGCTGGAGTGCAGTGGTCCAATCTTGGCTCACTAACCTCCGCCTCCTGGATTCAAGCTATTCTCCTGCCTCAGTCTCCTGGGAAGCTGGGATTACAGGCGCCCGCCACCACGCCTGGCTAATTTTTGTATTTTTAGTAGAGATGGGGTTTCACCATGTTGGCCAGGCTGGTCTTGAACTCCTGGGTTCAAGTGATCCGTCTGCCTCAGCCTCCCAAGGTGCTGGGATTACAGGCATGAGCCACTGCATCCAGCCAAATCCATGGACTTTTGACAGCACAGTCCACCAACAGGTTTCCAGGAAGGACTGATCTTGAAGCATGGCCTCAACAAACTGGTTTAATCTTTACTTATTTCAGACTGGGTCACAATATGAAGTCTTGCAAGGTATGTGTAGGCTGGGGGTGGGTCAGGGGAAGAGACAACAGCCATGGGCAGGTCTGGCCTGCCAGAGTTAAGAAAGCTGGCCAGGGCCAACCTGGCCTTGCCTACCAATAACAGGTAGTTATTGATAGGCAAGTGGGTTCATCCCTAAGAATGCCTACTGAGCACACATAATCACGAGATGACAACCTCGTGATTAGATGATTAGATGCCTGGATTTACTGATTCAACCAGGACTGAGGAGAACAATGCCTTACAATAAAACAATGTAATGCCTCTCATTCCACAATACTGACCTCCTACTGTGTGCAAAGCAGGGGTTGGGGGCCCAATGGTGAAAAGATGAGCCCCATTATCTTCCTATAATTCAGATTTTGTACCCACAGATGCCCACACTGTAATCATTCAATCCTATTAAATATCAGCTCCATTTAAAGATGAGAAAAAGGTCGGGCACGGTGGCTCACACCTGTGATCCCAGTACTTTGGGAGGCCAAGGCAGGCGATCACCTGAGGCCGGGAGTTCGAAACCAGCCTGATCAACATGGTGAAACTCCATCTCTACTAAAAATACAAACTTAGCCCAGCGTGGTGGCGCATGCCTGTAATTCCAGCTACTCAGGAGGCTGAGACAGGAGAATTGCTTGAACCCGGGAGGCGGAGGTTGCAGTGAGCTGAGACTGCGCCGTTGTACTCCAGCCTGGGCAACGAGAGCGAAACTCCATCTCAAAAAAAAAATAAATAAACAATGAAAAAATAAAGATGTGAAAAACAGAGACTCTGAGAAATAATGTGACTTGTGCAACATAACAAAAGTTATTGACAGATAACTTTTGAGCACTTACTTTGTATGTGGCCAGGTATGATTCTAAACAATGTATGTTATTATATTAACAACTCTGAAATAGAAACTATTACCCTATTTGACAGAAGGGGAAACTGAGGCACAGAGGACATGAACTTGCCCAAGGTAACATGTCAAGTAAACCGCAGAGCCAGTATTAAACCCCAGACATGCAGTTCTCACACCCTCTATTGGAACCCTTCATTTGTACCCTTCTGATCATGTTTCTTCTGTTAAGACTGCAACTCTCTCTTTCCTCTCAGAGATGTTAAGGTGGGACAGGAGAGCCTGGGAGGTTGCCTTGGTTAGGAAAGGGTGGGAGTAGACCACCCATTCCTGTCTTATTTCTAGGACTTACAGAAGTTGCTCTGAAAGTGTTATGATGCAGTGCGATGCTGCTACTTCCAGGTAGAGTTCCAGTAGCAGATACCAGCACAAACTCTCCTTAAGCCCCAATACCGCTGCGAATCTGCCTCCTTTCAATGATCAAGATGAAAATGCTCGTCAATTCCCAGAACCCTGGCAACTGTTTATCTGGGAACCACCAACTCTCAGATAAATAGTATCTATCTGTATGATTTCCCAAGACTGGAAACCAGCACTAAGTGGGAGTGTTAGGCAGCACAATCTTTCTAGAAAAGCAATTTTGACAATTATGTGTCAAGAATGTTAAGTGAAACTTTTTAAAACAGTTTCTCTTCTTAGGGAAGGAAATACATATTACTGGTAGGAGTGTATAGATGGATACAGCTCTTTCAGCAAGTCATCTGGCAACATCTTCATTTTAGTACAATTTTCCTTTGACCCAGCAATTCCTGTTTTAGGAATTTCCTCGATATTCCTGCAAGGATTTAGGATAATGCTGCAAGGATTTAGGATATTCCTTGCAGCATTTCTCATGTTAACAAACAGCAACAAAAATGGATGCACCTTGGTCGTCAGTAAGATTTTGGTTAAATAAATTAGGGTGCAGAAAAAGCGAACGCTTTATAGCCTCCAGAAATAAAGGAGACCAAGGCTGGGCACAGTGACTCACACCTGTAATCCCAGCACTTTGGAAGTCAAGGTGGGTGATCACTTGGGTTCGGGAGTTTGAGACCAGCCTGGCCAACGTGGTGAAACCCTGTCTCTACTAAAAATAGAAAAGTTAGCCAGGCGTGATGGCGTGCGCATCGCTGTAACCCCAGCTACTCGGGAGGCTGAGTTGGGAGAATTGCTTGAACCAGGACCCAGGAGGCGGACATGGCAGTGAGCCAAGATTGTGCCACTGCACTCCAGCCAGGGTAACACAGCAAAAGTGTCTCTCAAAAAAAAAAAAAAAAAAACCTTCAATAAAGCCCATGCAAAAACATTAACCACTCCATTCTGCTTTTTAGAGGCCAAAAGCTAACCACCACCAACCTCTCCAAGCAAGAACAAAAACATACTTCATACTCTTACACCTTAAGGTACCTTGTCTTACACCTTGTCCAGCCCAGGTCCAGGCCAGCTTTGAATTCAACCTAACACAAATTCATAAATCTTCTTAAAACGTAAGATAGTTTTACAATTTGTTTTAGGCTCATCAGCTATCATTAGTGTCCATGTCTTTTATGTGTGGCCCAAGATAATAATTCTTCTAATGTGGCCCAGAGAAACCAAAAGATTAGATACCCTTGCCTTAAGTCACTTTTCTGAGACGGAGTCTCGCTCTGTCGCCCAGCCTGGAGTGCAGTGGTGCAATCTCGGCTCACTGCAAGCTCTGCCTCCCGGGTTCACGCCATTCTCCTGCCTCAGCCTCCCAAGTAGCTGGGACTACAGGCGCCACCACCACGCCCGGCTAATTTTTTGTATTTTTAGTAGAGACGGGGTTTCACCGTGTTAGCCAGGATGGTCTCGATCTCCTGTCCTCGTGATCCGCCCGCCTCGGACTCCCAAAGTGCTGGGATGACAAGCGTGAGCCACCACGCCCAGCCCAGTCACTTATCTTCATAGCCAGATAATCAAACAAGCTCCTTTGTTTCTATTTTGCAGATGTGGAAAACAGGCTCAGAACTAAGTGGCTCAAGATGACATACTGCTTGCTAGTTAGAAGATAGAGATGACTTAAATACTATTTAATGGCACTAAAATGAGTGGCCCAATTCCTAATGGTTTCTTCAAGAGCAGTCTCTCCCCTCTATGGGAGAAACTTTTTCATCTTGCCCCTCTGTGGAGACTTTTAAGTTATTTTTCCCTAATAGCTCCCCCCTTATAAAGTTCTAACATCACGAACATATTATATACATTTACGTCCTTTGGAAGGACGTATTACAAACCACTGTAATATCAATAAAATGTTTTCATAGCATTGGTGAAAATATCACTTGAAATGTATCACATGTGAAAATATATATGTCATGAGAAATTATCACATGAAAAGATACATGTTCTGTTTAACACAGGCATTTTTAAACAGGGGGTCTATGAAATTAGATAAGAAAAAAATACTAATTTTCACTTAGCTGAACTAAAATTCAACATTTCGTTCAATGATGAATATAAGGAACATACCACAGTGGTATTAATAGTTGTGACTTTGTCATCAGTGGAGACCACAAATATTTTCATACAGTGTTACAAGTT